TTGGCTAGTGTCCAATTACAGCAGAAGCAGAGCTCCAGCAATCACCCATCCCCCTGTGGCGGAAGAGCAAAATCACGTTTATATATGTGATTTTGCACAGAACGTACACCCTGTAGAAGTACATTTGCTATAGGGTGGACGGAAAGTGGTTAATCTTCTTTATTTTCAGTTACCTTTCGCTTGTCATGTAAAACTGGTTTAATACTGGTAGTAGTTGATTCCAGCAGAAATGACAGTCTTTGCTTCAGTAAAAAAGATGTAATATTTTTATGGAGGCAAGTACAGAAGTTAATATGTAAGCTTGGCTTGTCCATTAGTTTTTTTTTTTTTTTTTTTTAATTCTGGAAATATAACGTTCAAGACTTTCTCAGCTTGCTACATTGCATGCCAAACAGGGATATGTTAAAGACATAAACCAATTTGGGGCAAAGTTCACTCTAATGGGCCCTCAAAACCAACAATCTAATATTTTCATGTAAAAAAATAGCACCTTGTGTATATTCTTGCTGTTTTTTTAAATTGAACATGCACAGCATTCTCATGTTACTGGATAATTCTGTATGCAGGTAAGACCCTTTTATTTCTGGGATGAGAATGTTTTGGTCATGATTTTAAACTCTAGTATATTTTCAGGCATCACAATAAATTGGGGGAAATCAATTCTACTATCACTAGAACCAATCCAACTTTTATTCCCTGACCAGGGGTGGACTGACCATTTGGAGGGCCCGGGGTCAGTAGGGGGCCCCATGAGATGACCCTGGTACCTTTTTCATAGTTTTTTTTGAGTTTGGGCAAGGACACAGGGGCCACATGAGCCCCTATTGCCCAGGGCCCCATGAGTTGTTAGTCCGCCCCTGTCACTGACTGTGCGCAACAAATTAGAATTTCTTATTTCTTCTGATAATTTTGTGTGATAATTTAGGCAGATCCACAAAACTGAGTGACCAAATTTACTTCCATTGCTCTCCAGGTTCAAAGAAACATTTTTGAGTTGTACTTGGCTGCCCCTAACTATAATAGCAAGGATGATTTTCATAAAAATAACAGCTACCCAACCTCTATATATCATCCCAAATTCTTCTATTTAAAAGGTTTTACTAGCCAAACATGCTGTTGTGTGAACCTATCTGGAATGGCAGCTCTCCTCAAACCATAAAACCATATGAGAAGCACTTTACCTCTCCTGGAAGGAAGGATTAGCAGTCCCTAATCCCTTCCTGTATTATATTGTGACACATTTACAACATTTTGGGGAAGACCTTTATCTCTACTAGATTATCCTAACCAAGAAAAGTAACATCACCCCTCGTGTATAAAGATTTTACTGTTTACATTTTAGAAGCAAGTGGGTTTTTTTTTGTTTTGTTTTTTGAAGCATATGTAATACCTCACTCTTCATTGGTATAATAAAAAGTGGCTACACATGAAATGAATTCTCAGTTATCAGGGCTTTAGCACGTATACCCCACAATGAGTTAATAGATATCTTACTGGGTTCATTGATTTAGGTGGCTTTGAACTGCAGAAAAAAGGGTGACATAATTACCTCTCTCAATTATATCTTGCTAGTACAGCTAAATCCTTTAAACAACTGCAGATAGATCTCTCAAGAAAAACTTACCTTTCACTAAATAGGATTAACAGCAATTATAGAACATTCTCGGCATAAGGAAGGTCACATATTTAAAATATGTAGCACTTAGTTCTTACAACCCACTGTCATTATCAAGTAAAGTCAAATAGGTTCTGGGCCTATATCCATTTTTTGATGAACAGTGGCTTGAAGTACTGCAAAGAATACCCCAAATGTCAATATCTCACTCCATGAGACTTACAGTGTTATTCTTATTCCATAGAGTTAACTGGGCCTCTTAAGGATGTACTATGTTTCTTGAGAAGATTTCTTTTACAAAGAATTTTATTATAGAGTAAGCAAAGTTAAACAGACATTCGACAGACAGATGCATTGACCAACAAAAATAAATTGTACAATGTAATTGAGCACTAGTGTAAGTCATATATTGGAAGAAACGTGAACTTTATCTTATAACAGAAATGCCCTAGGGGAAAAGACGATTAGGGGGGTAGGAAAGAGACAACTAACAATCTTTGAAGGTCAATGAAATTGTAGACTCTAAAAGGGAATTTTGCTACATCGACATAAAGAAAACATGAGATACCAAACTTCGGGCTCATGGAGAAATCCAGGTTGCATAAGTAGCATTACATATGTAGCACATAAAACAATAAGCCCACTCATTAGAACATGGATAGAAACAGATTAGACAGAAGAATAGAAAAAGACATTCAATGAAAAGACAGGAACAAAGAGTAGAGAGAGAGGAAAAAAAAAAAAGGGAGGGGGGGGGGGTGGCTCCAAGGAAATCACAGCAGAATCCATCCTCATATTGACAGAAGGGACTGGTCGAATCTTGATGGTTTGGCTATATCCAGCCAGGGGCGCCATATCCGCAGAATATTTGGAATGGGTATCCAACAATATGGCCGTCAGTTTTTCATTAACCATTATAAAATTCATCCGATTTTTGACAGCCTCAAAGCTAAGATCTTGAGAAGATTTCAAGCTGTGCTCTAAGTGTACCTTGGGACAGTGGTTATAATTTACATGTTATTAAGATGTCCAAACTTGTTCCAGAATTGGCAAGATGTGTTTGAAATCATGAAATTATTAACTAATAATTGACTACATTTTTTAATCATTAAATTATTGATTATTTCGGCTTCATTGTTGATCTTGAGCAAAAAATGTGTCTCCTTGGAATCTTTGAACCCCCTTTAATGATCCTCAGATAGAGATCATGGTAACCAGAACCCTATATCTATTCAGAAAAGCAATAGCACAGCAGTGGCTAAGCTCCTACCACAAGCCTCTGGATAGATAAAGTTTCTGTGCTACCCTTGGAAAGCCTTACCTATACCCACAGATATAGCATTAAAATGTTTGAAAAGATCTGGAAATCACCACGTGGAATTCTTTAATACTATGCAAAAATTACATGTCCGTACATGTACTTGTACTTCTTTTTTTCACATCTATTCATAAAGTAGGACACTATTTGGCACATACGTTACTGTAATTTCTGCTACGGGACAAAAAGATTGATTTAGTTTTCTTCTGTACAGTATACCTAAAAGTGAAAGGACAGATGAATAGTTAATAAAATACATGTTTATAATAAAACTGTTATTTTATATACATTTACAATATTTAATTTGCAGCCGGCATACAAATAAGCAAGACAGATTAAACAAATAATAATCAAATTGATTAATTATTTTCCCTGTTCATGTGTATAAAAAAAGACCTGGATTACTCTGGGTGCTCCAGAGATACGCAATGGAAACGCTTTGCCACATTTTTGCAACGTTGTTCTGTAACCATGTTATGTTGTTTTCAAATATGTACAAACAACTGTATGTTTTATTCTAGCGAACACTAATTCTATTTGAAAGAAAAATATAGGTTTGTGTAAAAATGAGTGTTACTAGAAGGTAAGAAACATTAGTAGCATTTCCGTGATATGAGTATCATATTTAATATATGCTGTATCAGCATCATGTATGTATTTACCAAAATAAGGCTATTTGCATACTTGCCATGTAATTCTATGGGATATCTTTCTAGACACTTCATTCCTTTCCTTCTAATAATGACTTTGGTTGGCTTTTTGTTAACAACACTTGTTTTCTTTTTTTTTTTCTTACAGTTAATACAGACAATAAGTGCGGTGGACAAAGATGAGCCTCCTGGTGGGCAAAAATTCTTTTTCAGCTTAGCATCTGTTAACCCAAACTTCACTGTCCAAGATAATGAAGGTATAATAACTTTGGCAATATTTCATAATTTTATAGTTAATAAAGAAAGTGTGTTATCTGTGTAGGCTAAAATTGCATTTTTTTTAACCTACATTTTGACACTGCATATAAAGAGAACAGTATTTTAGGGCATTATTTGCTCAAAAACCAATCCTTGAGTGGACTGGAACAGACTACTATGGGTGACAAAAAAATTCTCAAATAGCCAGGGTGGAGTATGGGGTCAGTTGAATGCTACATCCTTGTACTGTAATTATTCTAATCTTGTATAACTGATTCTATTCTCACAATATGGCTGTCCAGCATCTGTCCCAAACAGCCATATCTGTTAAATCTGGCTATAAGACCATCACAATGGATTATCTTCTAATATCTGAATGTGTTGCTATATTATACTGCTATACAACAATTTTTGTGAACATATACAGTTTGTAAAGATAATAATCATCCATTAGAAATAACATTACAAATATTTAAAAAATATTTAAAAAATAAGAGAAAAAAATGTTCATGTACTAAGTAAATACAACAGTCTTTCCATAAGTATGAAGACTTGCTTGATGCTTAAGTTCCTCCACCACAGATATGTGTGCAACACCCAGTGCTGAATCAAAATTTAATTCACTCACCAGACCAATTTGACCTCTTTACTAGGAAAGAAGGTCTAACTGAGCTTGTTTATCCATTCAGGATCCAGAGTCACCCAGGATATATGGTATCTACTGTATATCAATTCTCTCACTCACTCCACAGGAACCTTTTTGGCATACAAGAACGTGTCTACTGAGATGAGCAGGTTTCTTCTTTCAGCTTATTGTATATTGCCAGGTGAAAATGATAGTATAAAACAGACTACGGAGTGACATTGTATGGTTTCAGTTGTAGATATCTTACAACAAGCATTTCATACCCATTTCTGTCCAACTGCAATCAACAGGTGGCCTGGAGCATGACCAAAAAGAACCTTGTTGGGGATATGTCAGGTAGTTTTCTGTACAATACATTGCAATACAGAAAATAAGAACTTACACTGCTATTATCCTTTCCTTGCGCTTTTAAAAGTGCCTTTATTGGAAAAATATCTTCTCATTTTCTGTCCCTCCTAAAACTTTGACCTAACTCGTGCTCACCTTATCAAAATCTTATGCTTATATTTAGAAATGTTTTCTTTTAATTATGCAGATAACACAGCTCGGATTTTAACAAGGAGGAATGGATTTAACAGGCATGAAATAAACACATATCTTTTACCAGTGGTCATATCTGACAACGACTACCCAATTCAAAGCAGTACTGGAACGTTAACCATAAGAGTATGCACATGTGACAGCAAGGGAAACATGCAGACGTGCAGTGCTGAGGCCTTACTCTTACCTGCTGGTCTGAGTACAGGTGCTTTAATTGCAATTCTGCTTTGCATCATTATACTTCTTCGTAAGTATATATATATTTTTTGTTGTTGTTGTTGTTACAGTGAGGTCTATTAAATTTACATTATGAATGATGCATCTATTATCAGTACATATTTTCTATTCTTCCATTTTTGTTGCATAAAAGAAAATAAATAAGTTGATTTTGAAGTTCAGCAGCAGCCTATCTGAACTGCTAAGGCAATTAAACCTTTCATCAATTAAGTGGAAGAAGAATAATAAAAGGTGGTTTGTTGTGTGTTTTCAGTGCATTGATTTATGGTACTTTTGGTCAAACCAAGTTTTGCGCAGTTAGCAAATGTACCTACAAATATGTTGCCCATAAACATTAGATCAGATAGTACCTGCTTGTCTTTGGCTGCCCTAGGCAACGCCAACAGTTTTTAGTTGAAATAACAATTAGATAAGTAAGAAAACCTTGTATGATTGCTGTTATGTACTGAAATAAGCCAACATCAGATGCACTTGTATTATCATCCATTCTGTTGGTGTAATCTAAGTATTTGTGTTTATGAAACTGCAGTGCAATTTTATTCCATAAAACCAGACAAAAGCTGCACATTTAATCATACTCTAATTTCCGTGTGCCTGTTCTGTTATAAGCACTGGGGTATTGGGGATATTATACTCAAACAATAGGTGCATTTACAATGAATTTTGCTCCAGTCCAAAATTGTATTTTAGGGCATGGCAGCCCACTTTTATTCAATAAATGGAAAGTTCACATGTACATCCGTTGCCCATGCAGGGGTTTATTCCACAGCATTAGGCACAAACAAAATACCAAGCCACCTGGTTCACTTGTTGACAGCACTGCAGCTCCTCTTATCAGTCCCTCTAACTAGGTTGTCCAGCTCTTCTGAATCATTTGGATCTTTTAGTTTTTTTTGTCCCTACTGCATGGCTCACCTCTGGCCAATGGGTTGGGGTCTCCTGGAACCCTGATAGGAGCCAAACTGACTCCTGGAATGAGACCTCTTGTCTCCTGGCTTCTGATTGGGACTACTTCTGACCTCTCAGTGAGTCCCTCTGTGTCCCAGATTCTGTCTGGGGCACCTTTGACCCCTCAGTGAGACCTCTCTGTCTCTCGACTTCAGGCTGAGGCCCTCTGACTCCTTGGTGAGACCTTCAGTCTCCCAACACTGGGAGCGGTTTGAAAGCTGGGAGTGCTGTGATATCCTCAGACCTGAGTATACAATGAACCTGCACACCTGTGTATTCAGTCAGGTTGCAGGCATGTAGCACAGGATTGATGGTTCTGTCCCTCCCAATACACTTTAGAACTTTCAAGCTCCAGACATCCAGAACTGCCAAATCCATGGAAAGCCAAAAACACAGCTTTCTTTGCTCAGAAACAATAATCTGGAACTTTGCATTAACCATTAATATGAATGTCATGTCACGGTTTCCTATATTCTCACAGTGAATGGGCCTCTCACTGTCACAGCACCTTTAAACGACTGATTGGAAAAAGACTATAAACACTTTACAAACAATCAAAATGCATGGGCAAGTAAACTAATGGAAATCCAATTTTGTTTGCTAGTTTCACATACAAACTATTAAAGAGGTAGTAAACTCTTTGAAAACTTAAAAAAAGTTTCCCCCTGCAAGGCAAAGGCATAATGTACTAGTATGCATCACATACTAGCACATTATGAAGGACTTATCTTAAAACAAAGCCTTCCAGTGGCACGCTGTCACCAATGCAGAGGATTCAGTCTTCACCGAGTCTTCCTTCCAGGTTTGCCAGCTGCAGCCGCTTGAATGATGTCACTCCCGCTCATGCGTGCGGGAATCTCACTGTCTGTTGCTCGATAGAATATCTCCTAAATGGTGCACAATTACGAGATGATAATTTTACCTACAATTAAGCTTTATTATAAGATTACCTGTAGGTATAAATAACCCAAAAGTGTTTACTACCACTTTAGGGCAAACTCTATCCCATCATCTGCCCATAATTCTGCAGTATAAAGTCAAAATGAGCTAATTTTTATTATTAACATGTGACATAGTTGACATAGTTGCAGGCATTTATGTTTTTGATTGTCATCATTGTACAAAAAATACGCAATGGCTATCTTCAGAGAAAATTGTATGTTGGAGCATGTCCATTTTACTAACCCAGATCCATGGTCACATGATGTGCTAGGCACATTTTTTCCCTTTTTGTACAATTGAATGAGAAGGTCCTTTGGTGTCCACTTTCCATTGACTGTGTCCAGGAGCAGAATTCTCTCAGACTCATGAAGATGTAGCAGCATGAGGAAGTAAATATAAGGGGCTGGCTGGTGTGGGCACAGATGCAGTGGTGTATCACCAGTCAGGGGCAGACTGACAACTCATGGGGTCCCAGGGCAATAGGGGATCATGGGGCCCCTGTGTTCTCGCCCACACTCAAACTGCACCCAAAAAAGCCTATGAAAGGTACCAGGGGCATCTCATGGGCCCCCTACTAACCCTGGTCCCTCGGGCAGTGCCCGAGTGCCCAAATGGTCAGTCAGCCCCTGTCACCAGTCTCTTGTAAACAGCATCAGCAATGGACAAAGATAGCAAACTCAGGTGAAAAATTAGGTTTCAATGCTTTCTTTAAATAAGGTAAATAAGGCAGTCTGTTAATTGGTGGGAGGGAGGGAATTGGGAGAGATACAAAATTTTGCCCTGAGATGTGTTGTTGATTATGGTTTGTGCTGAAGGTAATATTTCCTTATTCATTGTTTTTGTTCTAAGCTACTTTTCCATTATTCTGGTTTGTTATGATTTAACTTTAAGACTTTTATGTTTTATAGGAGTGACCTTTGCATATCTATCATTGTAATCGCAATATGAAATGCTCTTTATAATGTTTACTGCTTTAAAATAAGGTGCAGTAAAAGATCAATGACTCATTTGATGACATGGGCGATTATCATGCATTCAGTATCTTGTCAGGCAAACATACTGCTTGAGAATTACTAGATATTTAATTTTAAAAAGAATCAGCAATATCCATTAGTTTTTACAATTATGTATTTGCTTATCTAAAGGAGCAGAAGAGTAAAGAATGAAATTGGAATTCTAGAGAATTATCCCTTTGCATTTGTGTATTTTTAAATCAACATAATTTAGTAAAATATGGCCTTTATAATTCCAAAGGCGGTAATAGGAATAAAGCAAGTCAGGGCTAATGTAAAAGTGACAGTTTTATTAAAGGCCTTTTTTCTGTGCTTATGCTGTATTTGTCTCACTGAGTAATTTTCTGGACATGTTCATGACAGATAAGTGTATTGTATGCAAGAAAATCTTTTTTGCATATTAGTTTTATTATATATCCATAGTCCATTATTCTTCACCAAAAATATTTTCCTTCTAACCTTTCTTTACTTAAATGATTTTAAAGTAGCCCTCCAATGAAAACTTGTTTTGCTTTGCATACAGTGGGCAAGGATTACAACTTTACTCACGTTTTTATAACTATATCCATCAAAAAGATTTCCTTTCCCAAAGACACAAAAGGCAGTGGGAGAAATTTTCCCCCTTGTAAGGGGAAATAAAACATTTTATAGCAGTCACAAGGCTGGTGTCATCATTGAGAAATCCATTTTTTGTGTTCCAGACATGTTTTTATTGGATTTTATTGGATTTTTATTGGATTTCTCATTCCTGTCCTTTCCCAGTGACCACCAGTACAAAATTATTATTATTATTATACAGTATTTATATAGCGCCAATGGGTATGCTCAGCACTGTACAGTAGCAAGGGGGACATAACCTGAGACAAGACAGTAACAATACAATACACGAGGGGTTCGAGGGCCCTGCTCCTTCGAGCTTACAATCTAGGAGGGAGGGGAAGGTGGCACAGGAGGAGATGGCTGTGGGGGATGGAGTGGTGGGAGGAGTGGAGGAGGTTAGTTGTTAGGTGAGGTCGGGTGTTAGGTGAGATTGGGGTAGGCTTCCCTGAAGAGGAGTTAATTTTAATTAATTTATTATTTTTATTATTTATTATTTATTAATTATTTATTTTAATTAATTTTTTTATTCTGTCCACCAGTGCATCTTCCTCAATGGTCCCACCACACAAAACACCGCCAACCCAAACATAAAATAAAATATATATATATAAAAATATACACATTCATACACACACACACATACACACACATACACACACACACATACACAGGATGTACAGTGTTAGTTCTTTACGTCCAAATTGGATGGTATTGCCACTTGAGGTGCGACTTGCAAGACACAGATGTCTATGCAAGTCACACCATTTTAGAAGTTGGTGCGGCTCAGACCAAGTCGTAATCACACAGACATGACCGCTGTAATTGCGAACAATAGGGTGCGACTTGCCATGCGATTTGCAAGTCGCATGGCATGGCAAATCACACCTGGTGTGACCGGGTTGGTAAAAAAAAAAAATATGAAATGAAAAAAAAAAAATTATATATATTTGCATGGACTATTTTAGAAGTCAGTGTGGCTCAGACCAAGTTGTATTTGCACCGATAGGACCACTGTAATTGCGGACAATAGGGTGCATCTCCATATACATCACTAAAAACCTGACAGATGTGTGTATGTACTGTGTGTGTGTATATATATATATATATATATATATACATACATACACACACACACAGTGTATATACAGTATACATGGCATATGATCTGCATCATATATATGACCATACTACTAAAGCCAAGTAAAGTAATGTGTCCAATAACCAGTAATTTAAGTGAATGGAAACTGTCTAAAAAGTCAGTACTGTGTATATTAAATCCTGTTTCCATTGTAAGGATGATGTATACATTTTATTATAATTATCATAATTAATACTACTACTATTAAAACTGCTGTCAACTATCAAGAAGAAAGGACACCGATCAAGGTCGATCTGCATGCATATGCCACAAATGGGAATGAGTGCTGGCAAAGCCCATAATTGTAAGCATATATGGAACAGATTTAGATGGCTGCACATCTAGAACTACCTTTATTGAACACTGTTCATAAATTAAGCAAAACAAGTACAGCAAGAGGGCTGTAAATTTCATGCTTTCCAGTATAGTCATAGATATGACTATAAGCTGTCAAGCATGAAATGTGATCTTGCTCTTGCTGTACTTGTTTTGCTGATTTTATGGATGGTGTTCAATAAAGGTAGTTTTAGATGTGCAGCCATCAAAATGTTTTTCCATATGTGTCCCTGCTTCAACATGGCACAAAAAACCTCTGTGCCTCTAGCATATCATGCTGTAGCAAACTTTTTAACGTATTTAAGTGAATGTTTGTACTTAAATAATCCCAACAGTCAAATATGTGAATTATAGAAGACTTCTTTTTTCAAATGTGATTGACTAGTAGTCTGTAGGTTTCTTAGTTCAGCTTACATATTTCTGTTTTCCAACAAAGAAAAAGAAAATAATCTGACTCTCACCTTCCAGGGTTACAAAACTGCACTGAGTATGTTAGTTCATAGATAAGGAAACAGTAAGCAAGCTGCCAATTATCAAAAGTAGTAAAGATTTGTTATGTTAAAGTGGTTGCAAATCCTTACAGTACAAATACACAGTGAAGTGACTGGCTTGAAGTGATCCACAGAGATGAAACAAATCCTCCTACATAAGTTGTACTTGTCTACCTGCAGCCTTCTCTTCTTTACATCCCTTCAAAATACTGCATTTATAAAGCTTGTCTTAAAGATCAGAAAACAGGGGGTGGAAAGCTGAAATTATACTCTGCAGAGCTCAGCGAGGAAAGCTGATTGAAGGGAAGGGACACCCCCCCCTCCAAGAAGAGAGCTAGGGCTGTCAATCTGATGGATGTTCCTCCCCAATCTCCATTTTTCTCTTGGTGTCAGGAAAACGTGTCAGAAGTGATTAATGCTGATAGCGGAGGAATGAAGCGGCAGGCAGAAATGACACATGGGGGTTAATTTACTAAAGGCAAATACGCTGTGCACTCCAAGTGCACTTAAAGTTGCTCTAAATCTGAGGGGAACATGCAAAGAAAATAAAGTAAAACATCATTTTTGCTTGCACACGATTGGATGAAAGAAATCACCTCATTTCAGAGCTTCACCTCATTTCAGAGCTTCCCCTCGAATATAAAGCAACTGCACTAGCACATTATTGAGGGATACACTTTGTATATTTTTCATGTCTGAGGTTTACAACCACTTTAAGTAATCCATCAGAGCAAGGCAACATGTTGATTTGTTTTTTTCAATGGCATTTATGCTTTTATAGCCATCATGAAGCATACAGCTAAACAGGAGACTCCACTTTGAATTTATAATGGAAAAAGTGGATGCCTATATTGTTGTTATTGGATCCAGAGAAAGTCACTTTATTTATTTTTAAGTCACATTTGTTTCTTTCATCTGTACACAAGAAATAGCTTTTCTGACTGCCATGCAAGTCCAGTATGACTGATACAAAATTAAAACACACACACACCACACCACTACTACTACCACCATTAACACTACTTACTACTACTATCAATAATAATAACTTAATGGCAGTAACATATTGATATTTTGATTTATTCAATCGTATCACTACTAATGAAATGGGATCGCATTTGTCTTCTATTTACATCTTTTTTCTCCTTTTTAGTTATTGTGGTGCTGTTTGCTGCCTTGAAAAGACAGAGAAAGAAAGAACCATTAGTCCTGTCTAAAGAGGACATTAGAGACAACATTGTAAGCTACAATGATGAAGGAGGCGGAGAAGAAGATACACAAGCCTTTGATATTGGCACACTCAGAAATCCTGGTGCGATTGAGGATAAGAAACACCGTAGAGATATTGTCCCTGAAAGCCTGTTGTTACCAAGGAGAACTGCTTCTGTGCCAGACAATACAGATGTTCGTGATTTCATTAACCAAAGGCTAAAAGAGCATGACAATGATCCTATTGCACCACCCTATGATTCACTTGCAACATATGCATATGAAGGAAATGATTCTATAGCTGAATCTTTAAGTTCTTTAGAGTCTAGTACAACAGAAGGGGACCAAAACTATGAATACCTCAAGGAATGGGGTCCTCGTTTCAACAAACTAGCTGAAATGTACGGCAGTGGGGAGAGTGATAAAGATTCTTAACTTTCACAGTACGATCAATCTTTTTTTATTTGAAGCTAAATGGAATAAGTTTGCGGGCACTTGGAAATAATATTAACAATTTTAAAATAATTTTTTTCTGACACTTGGCACAGTGTTAAATAATAACAATAATACATTAAAAAAATGAGAAAAAAAAAACTTTATACCACATTCATTTATTTCATCTGTTTTTATTCAATGTAGAATATCACCCTAGAGAATGACTAATGTTAATTATAAGCCATGGGTAAAATGCCGTGGTTGCTTTGTTGTATGTCAAATCCAATGATCACTTTGAAGACTTGAACAGAAGAATACTTCCTCGTACAAACTCATGTACACATTGCTTTTATCGGGTAATTTGGCTGCCTTTCCATTTGCAGCATTTTCTTGTTATTTTTTTTTTCTTAAATTTCAGAGGGAACCAGGAAATGATTTTTCTGATACATTTCTGATACATTATGTACATTAAAATGTACAGAAAATGTACATGTGATGTTAGTGTATTGAAGCTGGTGAAGATATATGTTAGTAGAACTTCATTTCATCAAATAGTATCTTGCCAATGTTTTATATTTATATTTTTGTATTTATTTTTAAGAAATAAACCTGTTTTTACAACTTGCTTAATGCCTATATAATTCAGATCATAAACTATAGGCAATGGGGGCAAAAAAAGTGAAACTCAGTAGGAGAGTAGTAACCAAAATGTGTTAAGTGGAAAAAAATAAGATATTAACACTTTGGGGTTATTTACTAAAGACATGTTTTTGTTGCACACCTGTATTTGCTTAGACTGAAAGTGTATCGAAACCCAAAACAAAAATCTTATATAAACTATACTGGTCTTTAGATGCGGTGGTTGTCCTAATTTTCTTTTTCCTGGCTTTTTTACTTTATTTTTACCTGACAATCCTGCAAATCCTGACCCTGGGGGGGGGGGGGGGGGGAGACTACATTTTTTCCTCCACTGTAGCTATGGATGGAGCCACGGTTAGCACTCAGGCTGTACTTCAAACTTGTCTGCCTTTGTCCATACCATTAGGACTGTTGTAAATTATACTTCACACAAAAAAGATTGTTTTGGGGTTTTTTTAGGCTCTCTGGAAATAGAGGTATTTTATGTACTTGCTAAACATTTTCTTAGTCTGAAAAAAGAAAACTAATGCAGCCACTACAGCTAATAACTGGTTGGCTTTAATATATTATATTTTTGTTTTCAGGTTTAGATATACAAATGCATTTTGAATCATTGTTGACCTAGAACAAGAAGAGAAATAAGTAATTCTCACATTTTTCTGACAGTTACTACTTGCTTGGTCTTGTTGTGACTACAAAAGCCAGACACAGTTGAGTATCTAGCATTTTGAAAATAAGTCTGGCAATGACACATTTTGTGCTTATTTCATAACAGGTGTGCTAAAAGTTCGGAATTTAATTTATATTAAATTGTATAACACGGTAAAACATAGATTTGGTGGACCTGTAAAATGTATAACATTAGTAAATAAACCCCTTGATTCTTACAATGATCCTTATCATAAGCATGATTCACTGTGTTGTGTCCACAAAATAACTCTATTGAGTAGCATTGTTTACAATGACAAGTGTGGGTTACTAGATCTTGTAGCCATTTTTTTTCACACACACATTCTGTATATTTTTGCAGTAGGGCATATAATATGTGTATGAGTTTATTTTTGTACCAGGTGATGACTGCCCATTAAGTAATGAATAAAACAAACCATCCTCCTCCTTGAACTATACTATTTAACAGTGAAAGCTGAAAATCTGAGTTCTGGGAGGTGACATACTATATACTAAAGTAAGAAAATATATTTTACTGACAATTTTTTTTTAAATTTTAGATAATAGTTATATACAGACTTTGTATATTTAATATTCCAAGCAATCATTTACCAACATTAACAAATAGAGCTATATGAATGCCCCCTGAGGAAGCCATCTAATACAAAACATGCCAGGGCAATGTGGTACTTGAACACAAGAACCTCTCATCTACATTTGGATTAATCAGCATCTCAGCCTGTATTTGGAGAAATCCAATAGCAGTGGATGATTGTATACTCATTTTAAGTACAGAGGGTGAAAGTCTGTTCTTATTTATACAACACACAATACCTACATGGGACTTCAATAAATCCTTGGCTATCCAGCTGATTTTAACTACCAGTAATTGGTACATATATGAGCTTGAGTGAAGTTATATTATTCTACATAATATATTTAATAGTATTTATTAAAATTACACTTACATTAGAAAGAATGTAAAACCCTCTTCAATGAAACTACAACCAGAGCACGGACATTGATTATTCCTTCTTGCCCAGAATGTATCCAGTTGTCAGCTCAGGATTTCATTATCACAGAGGGCTGCTGCAAGCCCTCCTCACTGCAAACACTGACAAGGACTTCACCCTACACGTTACATTATCGACTTCTTCAGGGGAGATATGTTGCCTTGCTGCTAATATTAGCCACATTAGCACGAGAGCAGAAGCTTGACATGCAGTGAATCTAATAACTTTCAGATTAAATGTTCTGGAAATGAGTTTCATGTGTTTTATTTTTCACTGAAGGTTAACTGCATTTTTATAGAACTTGCTAGGCTTTCTAGGCCCCTCTTGTAATGAACAAAGGGGTATGCAAAACTTTGTGACTTGATCTTAGCTCATTAGATGTGTTGGGTAGGAGGTTCAAAATATGTCAGGTTACAGTTAAAGGTAAGGTTATGGCAAAGATGGTCTGGGAAATATAAAATTTCCTGTTAATATTTATAAACTTCAACTAACAAAGGACCCTCGAAACCTCTTTTTTACCCGATTACCAGGCTAATTGTAACTCATGTGTTTAAAATGCCTATTGTTAACAAGCTATACAGATGAAGTTAATAATAATAATAAGTTATATGAGCATTTCATACCCTCTATCTCTCTGCTCTGTATAGCACTTTGTACAGTTTTCAAGTAGAGCTGGCTACTGCTGTGCTCTCTTTTGTATAACAAATACAATGCTTTATGAAGTAATATCGGGTCACACTGTATTAAATGTTTACATGAAACATTATTTTTTTAATATAAATAGTAAAAAAGATGTAAGAAATATAAAACCAGTTTAAAAACATTTAAGAAAAAAATATTAAGTTGCCACAAACCAATATACATAGTTTAAAGTTACAGTATGTAAATCATGTAGACAGAGGATTATTTCCCATTTTAGAATAGAAGATCCTTAGACAAAATTTGTTAATAAATTATGTACTATGGCACATGCTTTTGCATCATTTAAGATGTGACCAAATTCACAGAAATCATACTGGAAAATGTGATAATTTTCTCTCAAAAGAGATTTTGCAACAAAAATGTTTAAAATATCTCTATCACAACAAAAATACATTGAATGCAACTTCTATTTTTTTTGAGAACTCTCTTGCTCCTTCATAGTGAATGCCATTGTACATCTTTTCCAAAACATTTTTTTTTTCGAAACTATATGCTGGTTAAAGCTACCTAACAAAGTGGATACAAGCAGTCAATATCAATAACAGTACCAGCAGAGTATTTAAAGTGTAACCAGCAGGCATCAGGAAAAAGTCTTTCAAGTAGAAAAGCAATCAAAAGTGGTCACCTCTATGTAGAAGGTAACATCACAAAAAATGTCACTGTCTGTGCCTCCATAGCTTTAAATGATTAAACATACTTACAGTATTTCAAATAAAACCAGAACACATAAAAGTTTAGTTATCTCAAATGGTTGAGATCGCTCCTTATAAAAAATAAACCAGAAGTAAAAATACTTTGGTCTTCTAGAATATGACTGTATGATACAGAGGCACCTGGTATGTTCACATACATTTGCATGCTTGTAACCAAGAAGGTTGATCCCCCAGGCTGATACCCTAAAAAAATCAGAATTGTGTGATCTGTATCTTTAAACACTTTAAAAATATACTTTTCCTAAAGACCAAAGGTCTCTGCAACTGCTGTGTGTTTAGTGGAGGAAAGCATTAATGTGTGTAGCCAAAGGCACATGCTTTGATTTTGAGTATTTTGGAGAACACAATAGCAACTAAAATAAACATATTCTTAATGATGACACAATTCTTCTTTTTCAATCACAATGAAATTAAATAATCTACAACACCATCATTTTTTCTATTCAAGATCTGGCAGAACACGGATAAGGGATCATTGCTAAGAAGGTAATTGAAGTCTTAACATGTATGCAAAGGCTAAAATGTGGGATAGAGTGGGATAAGGGTTAAATCTGTTCCATTTTTATTTTTGCAATGTTTGAGTCTAAAAATCAAAGTACCACATCAAAGTATTAGAGTTCAAATTAGGGTTTTATACCAAACATGTATTAGGTACTGTAAAACAGCCAACACATTTCTGGGACCATACCATGCAATGAGGGCTACAACATGATATGAAAACCAAATTAGAGCTGAATAAAAATATGAAAGGTCTCAATCATGTATGTTTATACAAATCAATACCTACCATATTTACCTATATATGCATTTAAACAAACAAAAATATTGATTGGGCTCCATATAGTCAAATATAGAAACTGAAATTTTAAAATACTATGAAATAAAAAATTGTGAAATAAAATGACTGAGGTGTATAATAGCTTACTACGAAAAAAAAAGAAGTTTGCCTTAAATATGAAATCAGCTGGTATTGACCCTGGGTTGTGAATTACAAATCTGAAAATTGTTTAAAGAAAATTATGATAGAAGCAATGGGGAATGCATTGGTATCAAAGGAAAATACTGTTGAAATACTTGCTGTGCATCTAAGAACTCACATTCAGTAGGTCTGGTCGGGGTTACAACCAGACCTGCCAATGTGTTGAGTTTAAATGTGTAGCCAAATGGGAGAACTAGGGTAGGAACCAGGGCCTAATCTAGGAGAGGCTGAAAACAAGGTGGGAGATGCTTAGGTTTGGGAAAGGGAACTGATGTGAAAGCAAAG